CTCTCTCTCTCTCTCTCTCTCTCTCTCTCTCTCTCTCTCTCTCTCTCTCTCTCTCTCTCTCTCTCTCTCTCTCTCTCTCTCTACTTGGCACAGCCTTCTCATGCCCATATTGTGGAAATGGTGTGTTGTTCGCTTGCCACTCTGATTTTTTTTTTTTCTTGTTGTTTTTCCAGGTTTTCTGGTTTTATCCAGCCTACGTCATTAGCTTCGTCATCAACTGTTTATGGTAAGGTACTTTTTTTCGAAAGCAGACATTGTATTGTCCATGGCTTGCTCGTACATCTCCGTTTCTGACAGGCACCATGATAAATGAAGCATAAACAGGACTGCAGCAGTTTGTCCGCCGAAGTGTAATACTTCGCCCACTGAAAAAGAGGGGAGGAAAGCTGAGCAGAAATGAAGTGTTTGCATGACGATTGTGAACTGTACGTCCAGTCAGTTACTAACGCTGGTGGTGCATGCAAGGTGTTCTCTTTGTTGTTTGTTTAGTCGATTGGCAGACAGTCAAGATCTGGTTTTAGGTGGAGTTGTATTCTGGTAGTGATTGTAGGTGTGGTAGAAGCCATCAGCAGCACCGGGAATGTTTCAGTGATAGGGCCGCCAGCTGGAGGAACAGCGTAGCAGCAGCAGCAGCAGCAGCAGTGCGAGTGGCAGTCATAGTGCCACCTCGTGTCGGTCCAAACCAGAGTAGCAATTATAAATTATAATGTTACCTTGCAAGGTGTTCTCCGTTTGTTGAAGTTGAAATGGGTTCTTGTGTGTGTTCCATTCTGGTGGTACTCAAAGGTCGACAGAGCCGCCGTAGTAGGGGAACTGAAGGGTGGCGGTCACGAATCGATGGCAGAGGGCGCACCGTCTCCACAACCGAATTTCTGGAAGTGCCAACCGAAGCTTGAAACTCTGCTGAGAGAACAATATGTTCATGGCATATTTTGCATTAGCAGCAGCAGCAGCAGCAGCAGCAGTGTGGCAGGAGCAGGAGGAGCGGGGTCGGAGCAACAGTAGCAGTGTTATGAGTGGTAGAGGGGGTAGCATAATTAGCAGAGTAGGTGCAGCAGAAAACTGGTGGTGGTAGTAGCAGCAGTAGAGCAGTGGCAGTGTTTTTTAGTAGTTGTAGCCTTGTAGGTGCAGAGAACCAGCAGCAGCAGTTGCAGCAGCATGGCCAGTGATAGTAGAATCCAGTAGCAGCATCAGCAGTGGCAGTGAGAGTACCAGCAGCAGGAGGGAACAAAGTAACAGAGCCCCAGCTGCGGCGGCAACACTGGTGGTGTGGCAGCAGCAAGAGGAGCAGAGTAGCAAGCAGTAGTATCGTCGACGACAGTGTTAGAGGCAGCAGGGAAAGTACCAGAGCAGCATAGCAGCAGCAGCGTAGTGGTCGTAAGCTTAGCAGCAGTTGAGTCCTGGCAGTGGCAGTAGTTGTGGTATGAGAGCAAGACTATAAGAGCAGCAGCATAGTGGCCGGAGACTAGCCACAGCAGAAGTAATCAGTACGAGCAGCGGCAATAGCAGTTTGAGAGCGCGGACAAGTTTATAAAACAGATCACGAGTTCAGGTCGTGCATGAGATTGGATGATAAGAGTAATGTTAGGGGGGGGCTACCCCCTTCAAAAAAAAGAGGTTGAACAGGGCGGTTTTTCTTGTCCATAAAACATGAGGTTTGATGGATTATTTTTGCGGTGCGAGTCGCGTGCAATCTGTCGAGTTACAGCGGTGTGAGTCGAGTGCAATCTGCTCAGTGACAGCTTTTGTGTTCCTTCCCTCTGTTTCCTTTCGTCTTTTATGATTTTTTTTTTTTTTTTTTTTCCTTCTGTGCACGCGCGCGCGCGCGCGCGTGTGTGTGTGTGTGTGTGTGTGTGTGTGTGTGTGTGTGTGTTACTATGTTGTGAAATGGTGCGCCTGATTTCCAGTTTTGTCATCCTTCCCAATTCCCAACTGTTTTGTGGCATCTGCATTTTTCAGTTTTGAATTTCAAAAATTTATGTGGAGCCGATGTGGAGTATGTGTGGATCAATCAATCAAAAGTGCACGACAGCATGAGTTTGATTTTTTACTGCTGCTTCCTTTCTTTTTTCTTTTTTTTTTGTAGGTGTTCAAGCCGTATCAGAAAAGAAAGGTCGTGTCCTAAGAAGTTCCCTATTGTTTGTATGCATTAGGTAATAATTTACTGATAAAACCGCAATTGTTTCCTGAAACGGTAAGAACTATATGCTTCTTCTTTTTGGCAATAATAAAACTGCAGTTCTTCCTGAAACGTCAAAAAGTACCAAAAACTATGTGCTGCTGCTTTTTTGTTTAGGTAATAAAAACTGCACTTCTTCCTGAAACGGCAAGAGGTATATTCTTTCTCTTTTTTTTTCGGTAATATAAACCTGCACTTCTTCCTGAAACGGCAAGAACTATATGCTTCCTTGTTTTTTTCTCGGTCTGATTAGATTCTAACAAGCAATGATATAACAGTTTTTCTCTCTCTAGAATGTCTTCGATTAGGTTCTCGTCAACTTCTCGATAACTTCTTATGTATTAGCGGGATAATAGTGGATATATTAAAAAAGATATCCATTCAACTAAGCACGTGGCGTTTGTAGGTACAACGACGTTGCAACTCATGCGTTTAACGTTATTCAGGAAGAGAGAGTTGGAGGAACGGAGGCATCATCAAAGGAAGCAGTGAAGTCCAGCTCGAAGAAAAGGCGATCCAGGAGAGGGTCCATCGCCGGAACAAGTGCAGCAACTGCAAGATCAGACGCTGCAGCAAGCTCTGGTCTTGAAAGGTGTATATGCTTTGTTCTGATTTATTTATTTATTTTTTTAAATTGTCTTTTGGATTTTTAGTTTTTTATGGCTCAATGCCGCTCAATCTTTGGGTTGGGAAATGTGTGCGCGTGTGTGTGTGGTGTTGGGGGGGGATGGGAGGGAGGGGTGGAGTGTTCAATTTTTCTTAGTCACGTTGTTGGTTTGAAGGACGACAAAGGAGGAGCCAAAAACTCCCATTCAGCCATTCTTGCCAATGTATTTGCCTGCAGTTTCTTTGTTGTGTGTGTGTGTGTGTGTGTGTGTGTGTGTGTGTGTGTGTGTGTGTGTGTGTGT